AGAATTAGAACCATGAGGGAGATGGTTTTCTTACAAGCTTTCTGAGATGACTCTAATATGTCCCCCCCTCCATCCATTATCAGCTGCCTTAGAGACCTAAACAAATACCCAACTCTCCACAAGAGCGGTGACAGATGGGATGCAGGGCACATCAAGAATGAGGCCGGCCAAGCCCCAGGTGGTTACTATGAGAGAAGGGAACCAGGATGACCCCAGGAGACCTCTAAGGGAAGACAGAGATGAGGAAGTAGAGGGGCAGATGGTGCAGCCCAAGTAATGATCCTGCCTCTGCCCTTCCTACAACCCTTCAGTGACTCGGTAACTAGTACCAATTCTAGCTGGCTCTCTGTTGAATTAGTAACAAGCTTCATTGAGTGCTTACCCTATGCCAGGCATTCAGGGCTTTGTATGAGCTCACAGAGTTTTTGCCACTTTGGTAAGAACTGTTCTCCCCTCAAACTGAGGCGCAGCGATCCTAAGTAACGTGCTCAGGGCTACTTGACTGCCCTGTGGTGGGGCGGGGTCTGAATCTGGGCAGTCTGACTCCAGTGTTTACTTTGTAACCACCTGCTCTACAGTGGTTACAGAGGGAAGACTGAGAAGTTCTATGCCAATAAAGGTTTTAGTGTTCAAGTAAGTTATGGGGCTGCTACTTAAAGGCGAGCATGTTCGTTTTTCAGGACTCTTGAAAGACTTTAGTATGTGTTTAGTCTGTGGCCTCTGGCCTCCCACTTCTTGTCTTGGAGGCCAACCCTTCCACCTTCTTGCATCTTTTTTCAGACTTCTCATTATCACCCTCATTTCTTCATCATTATCTTTCCCTCTCTACTGAATTATTCTTAGCAGCAAACATGCTCTAGTAATTCCCGTCCTTAAAAGGCACTCTCACCCCCTTTCGCTTTGCTACCCTATTTTTCTGCTCCTCTTCACATCAGGACTTCTGTAGAGATTGATCTGGGCACAGTGGCTTCCCTTCATCCCTCATTCAGTCTTCAGACCATTCCTATCTAGTTTCTGACCTGTCACTCTATTATACTCGGGCTGGACCTCAGTTCCTGGACTAGCTTCTCTGCAGCCACTTCCTGTCACCCCCACCAAAGTTCTCCACTCTCCACCAGTGGCCCAAAGAGCCTTGTTGGGATACAAGCCAATTCATGTCCATTGATTTAAAGCCTTCAAATGCTTTTCTACATCCCTTAAAATAACTCTACCTTGAGTGACAAGGCTCTAGTGTCTGGCCTTTCCTGCTTCCTGCCCTGTGACCCACCATGCCGACACTGGTGCCATCACTCATGCAAACTTCTACAGCTCTTTTTCTTCTGCCTACAGCCGTCTGGTTGCATGGCTGCCCTGTCTGTCCTTCCGTCTTCAAATTCACCTTCTCAGGACTTCCGGACCAAACTGTCTAAAATATGGCCCCGGGATCCCTTTTTTTCAGAGCACGTCTTAAAATCTGAATGTATCTTGTTTATGTGTATGTCTGTTAAGGAAAAAAGCACAATTCAACTGAGTAAATTTAGGTTTTGGTTTTTTTTTTTTTGTAAATTGAGATCTTAATGACTTTATTCAATGATTCATAAATATTGGGCAGAATTGAGTCTAACATAGAAAGGAACTCGGAGGAGCTGTACAAAATGAAAAATTTCTATAGGCAGAAGGAAGCAGGAAATTATATTAGAAAAAAAGCAAGTTGGTTATTGTAAGGTTACTTTCTTACAGGGGACAGTTGGGGTCTAGATGACCTAACTAGTACTGACCAGATGATTACTGATGGACTGGTTTAAGATTCCGTTCATTCCTGGGAAAGCTCTAACTGTTAAGTCTTGGGTCTGTGATGTGTGGCTTAGTTTGAATGACTGCATTTGGGGCCTGTTGTCTTCTTTTTATACTTATGGTCTATCTTACATCATAAATTCTATGAAAGCCATGACCTAGGTCTTGTTCCCTGTATCGCCATATGAATGAAAAGCCTGTGGATTTCTACAGTGGACATAATATGCAGCAGGGAAATCCTAAAGCATAAAGGCTAATAGCATATCCCACCCCCTGTGACTAGATCCTTGCCACCTTCTCTAGCGCTCCATCCTCCCCCACCTCTCTTTCTCTGTTTCTCTGTCACATATACACACACCTCTTTTGCTCTAGCTACACACATTAGCATACAAAACAGTTCAGGTGTCAAATCTATCAGGGTGCCTTCCCTGACCTCTGCCCTCTGATTTAGAGATCTCATAGCAGTCATTTTGCATCCTGTGCACAACCCTCATTTAAATTAAAGATTGGTGTAATGTTTTAAAACTTTCAAGCCAGCATCTTTTCAATTTGAATGAGTAACTAAGAATACAGGCTCTTAATTAAGACTCCCTGGGATGGGAGCCTGACTCCTTCACCGACTTGTGTATGGTTGTGGTCCAGGTCCTTAACTTCTCTGTGCTTCCAAAGTACTAGGTTCTAGCAGTACAGAAAATAATGTCATCTAATCACATGTAAGGTGCTTAGACTTGCTGGCACAGCAACCATTCTCTGAGGCTATCCTCATTTTAGACATGAGGGAGCAGAGACCCACACAGCTGAACTTCCCCAGTGTCTTCCAGCTGCACAGAACTGGCCCAAGTTCTTTGTTTTATGCCAAGAAGCTTTCTGTGGTTTATCTTTCCATTCTTACCAACCACAATACAATTTTGGCACATCCTAAGTCCAGCTGTCACAGGGCTTCTTGGAGTATGGAAGTGGTAGCAGTGGGCTTAGTAGGAAGGGCAGAGATTTCTGGCAAAGGTGGTGGCTCTTGGTGGATACAAGGGTGTAAGAGGCAGTAACACTATCATATCTACTTAGCTGTGAGGTCATATAAATTAGAAATTGTTCCTTTATGACAGCACCACATAGGATATTGGGAGACCTTTCCAGGGGGCTGGGGCCCTAAATCAAAAGGAAAGGGAGTCAGTGAAACATGTTGTTACTGTTAGTGACTCCATTTACTGTCCACAGGCCTGGGAACATGGATACATGGACTCCATTCCAAAGCCCTTTTAACAGTGTGGAGTATGCAGTGGTTATGCCTAGTCCAGTATTCAACAGCCAGCTAAAATAAGGAATGTCTGTCTGTCTCTCTCTCACACACACCCTAAAAACTCTTAAAAAAAAAAAAAAAAGGACTTTTGGGAGTCTTATTAAACCAATTCCTTTTTTGTTTTTGAGTATGACACTTATAATTTCCAGTTTTGGTTTTAAAGCAAAACAAAAATTTTAAGACACTTCTGAAGTAATCTGAGAGCAGAATGCTAGATTTTGGCTAATTTTCAACTATTGCATGGTTGATTTATCCATAATTCAACAATTTTTTTTGCAACTTACCTTTCCTCTTTCTAAAGCATCCAAAAAAAGTCAGGAGTCTTCAAAACATTAATTTCTTATGTTTTCACGTTTGTAACTCATTGGTTTGCTTAATATGAAATGCTGTCATTACACTAAATCGGTACAACTTGAAACAGTTTGGAAATAGGTTGTTGAAATTAACTCAGGGAGAACCTGAGTGGATACAGAGTACTGGGCCAAAGCCCATCGGCCCTGGTGCTGAGTGTGCTTTACAGGCAGAAGGCCATATGCTTTACAAATCGAATGGAAAGTGCTGGTTAAGTGAGAACTGGAGGACAGAACTTCTACTGAATTGAATGTTGGCTGATTTTCAAAGAATCGCATTTGCAGATCCTACTTCCACCAGCAGGTGGCAGATAGGGTTCATGAGCCGGTTTTGGCCTCGGTGTGAAACCCCCTTTGTCTTTCCGCTCCTTTGATAGCCTAGCAGTGTTCCTCTCCAAGTCAATGTGGGCAGAATCCCGGGACTGTGGTAAGGGATCCCAGGACCATGAGAATACACTGGTGTTCCCACTTATCTTGTCTTAGCCTCAGTTTCTCCCCTGAGATGGGGCCAACTCCTATCTTGTTGAGGAATCAGTCCCTTCGATTTCTTTCTCTTTCTCCTTGAATAGAGAGGAGAGCAATATTTTACCTTCTGGGGAAGCCGGTCACCCAAATCATCTGCTAGTAGATTGCCTGACAGTAGATCTGGGTATTGGTCTCCGCTGACCCCCTCCCTCCTCACAGTTCCCCAGGAGAACTCTTGATGTCTGATGCTGCTGGGTGCCCTTGGCAGGCATCTGGCTTCCTGGTTGGTAAGACCACAGGTGGCCTGTGGTCAGCCTGCCTCACCGCTATGGAAGTTACTAGCCAACTTGGGCATGTGGGCTTATACCTCACGGTATGAAGCCAGCTCTTCTTGGAAGCACCAATAGCCTGGCATTTAAAGCATCAGTGCAACAGTGTATACTTGACTGTAGGCAGATGGATGGTTGGGCCTGAGGGACTTTTCCCGAGATAGTGATCAGAAATTGGGGCACTTTAGTGTTCAGGGTAGCAAGAGGTGATAGGTAAGGACACTATGAGCAGGAGCAAGTGAAGGACCACCAGCCCAGTCTGCTCTGAGGCCACTCCTTTGTTGCCCCCTAAATCCCAACCCTAGGAGCTCTGGCACAGGCCAGTACATGTGCTGTGGTGGCCAGGTAGACTTTCTTATAGGGTCTGCCCTAATGGAGCTCTGAAGTCTGGGGATGAGCTGGAGAAGGAAGGTAAAATGGGCATGGAAGGGAGAGGGACTAGTACTAGCCCGAGGGAAGTGTGGAGAGAAACAGGGCCCAGCTCGTGGGGCCCCAGGAGGACAGAGAACCGGCACGTCCCATCACCATGGCTCCCTTTTCCTTTGTACACATGCCTTGCTCCCCCGCACAGACCCGGGTGCAGAAGTGAGCTGTACATGGTCCTCATGCTGAGCTCTGCCTCATAGGCTGAGCTCTGCCTCATAGGCTCTAACCCTGGAGCAGATATGGGGTGAAGCAAAAGCAAGCAGGTTATGGTGGAAGGCTTGTGAGGAATTCCAGACCAGCTGCCAGCTGCACAGGCCCAGGTGGCTCAGCGGGGGAAGGAAGAACTGACAGGAAAACTGTCCTGCCCTGGGCACAGGGAGTATGGAGCAAAACGTAGATTTGCATCAATCCAGCTTCAGTGACTGTGATCACACTGGGTATTCCTCAGAGCTTCGTAAGGCCATTCCACTGTGGGACACCCCGAGGACTTCCGACTCTGTGAGCAACTTGGTAACACCTATTCTGCATGACCATAAAGGAGTCAGGCATCCAGACATCGTGCCATGACAGCAAATTTAATAAAGAATGCAAAATGTTCCCAGTGGGCTACTCTGATCCCAGGTGCTTGGGTGGTCATGGGATTGTCCCCTCTGACACCTACCAGGCCCTGCATGGTTGGAGAAGCATCCAGATCCTACATGGGGCTTGGGCTCCCAACAGTTCCCCTGGGGGTGTCAGGACTCCTCCCTCCAGCTGGCTCCAGAGCTCCTGGCACCACTGAAGCCCAGGTCCAAGCTGCAGGGGTTTGTGGCTCCTCCTGAGGCAGGCAAGCACTGCTGTGGGAGGGAGCTCTTTCCACATCTTCACTTTTGGGCTTTGTCACCTTTTGCCCCAACAGTCAGGCTTCCCAAGGTTGAGAAAAACTCCTCCATTTCCTTCTGCAGCAGCTGGTTCCTCTTCTCTGCATCTTCCCGTGCCCGCTCTGAGTTCCTCAGCTTTATTTCCAGCATTGTGTGCTTTTTCTTTTCTTGGTCCAGTTCTTCTTCTAGCTGTGACATTTGTTTCCTCAGGCTGGCACTGCCTTCTTCAAGTCTTTAAAATGAAGAAGAAAGACACTGATTTAGCCTTTGGCTGGCTGGGTTTCAGGAAACATGTACCTGCATGCACTCCTTCCAAAGGAGCTGGTCAGGCGGCCCATGGTGGTGAAAGATGAGCACAAGCTGAGACCTGGCTCTGGGATGGGCCCTGTAGGCCTCATCAGCTCCTCACAGGACCCTGGCACTGACCCTCGAGCCAACAGGCCTCACCCCCAGGGGACCTCCCCTCAGCCTGTGATCCAGAAATGCCAGCATGAGCATCTAGCCCTTTGGCACTTGAGGCTGGAGAGCTCTCTGAGTCCTTGCTAAAATATAAAGTCTGCCACCCTCCCGCCCAGCCAACTGTCCACAGAGGAATGGACTGCCGACTGGCAGAAAACAGGACTGGTCCCCAAATGGAGAGGGAAGTAGCAAACTGTCCCCGTGCCTTTGCTCTTCTGCGAGGCTCCTTGTGCTCCGGCCTTCCTCTGGTTGCCCCACCTCCCATGGCCCCCCAGGTCCCAGCCAGACACCGCGACTCACTGGGAACCCCATTAGGGTTGTCACCTCCACTACTCCTTGTCCTTCGTGCCCCAGCTCAGATGTCTCACCCTCGGTGATACTTCTCTGGATCCTCCCCAGGAGGCCACATTAGTGTTTCTTATGCCACCGCAGACATGCTGCTATGAATGTTGACACTATGCTGTGCCAAGGTTGGCCCATCCGTCTTTTCGGCCAGATGACTACATCCTATGAGGCCTCTGGGGCACGCTGAGCCCAGCCCCTGGGAGCCAACATATGGCAGTGTGAGCCCCAGGCTGGCTATTTATGAAGCAACATGGGCTGCTCTGAGTTCTGGTGTCTTTTCTGAAAAAATACAGGTGCCAACCCTCCACCCCAAAAGCTACCACTACTATGGACGAAGAAGAACCAGGAGCACACAGCACAACACCTGTTACTTGTACATGGAGTAAATATCCATTCCCCAGCCTGTCCAGGAGGAAGCCCAGGCCTCCACCCTCAAGCACTGAACACAAAGCACGAAGAAGGCAGGAAAGCTCCCTGCACCCCAGTCCTCCATCTGGGGAGCACAAGACATGCCATCAGAAGAACCTCTCCACAGACCCCTCATTGCTCGTTCCTCTGCCCTGGTGCTCTCAAGCTCAGGCCTGGGCTACCCGTCTGCTTCTCTATGTGGGTCTTTGTATGACCTCACCCAGTCTCCAGACTCAAAACATCATTTACACGCTGGCAACCCCTCATAGCCTCCATCTCCTTCAACTCCACTCAGAAACCTCATAAGCACTGCACCTTAACAGGTCCACAGATAGCTCCTGATCCTTCTCCAAGCCACTTCTGCAGCCCTGGTGTCCCACTCAGTGAACATCTTCTTCCAGTTACTCCGCCAAGACAAAAATATTGTCCCTTAAGTCAGTTCTTTCACCCCCACATCGGACCAATTAGGAAAAACTTCCAAATACATTGATAATCTGGCTCTTCTCCCCATCTCGACTACTGCCCCTTAGGTCCATGATACCCACATGTCTAGCCTGGAGCCCCACCCTGTGCCCTCTACCCTCTTTCTCACACTCCCCTCGTCCCCACTCTTTCTTCTACCTGCCTCTCCCAGCCACAACCCCCGGGCTTCTGCACCTGGCCTTCCCTCTATCCCAGCATTGCCTTCCGACCCTCACTCCCCATGCCCCCCTTCCCTTCACCCTGCTGTGTTCTCCTCCTTTATCTAACCTTCTAACACACCATACATTTTTAAAATCTATCTTGCTTACAGTCTCTCTCCGCCCCCCACCCCCAAGCACCACCAAATTAAGAATGAGGGCAAAGGCTTTGATCAGTTTTGGTCTTGGCTTGTGTCCCCTGTGTCTAGTACAGTATCTGCACATCACAGACACTCAGTGGATTCTCTCTGGGAATACAGGATTTGGCACAGGGGAAGGGTTCTGAGTCCTGGGAGGCAGGGCAGAAAGCTGGTTTCTCCCAAACCACTAGACAGACCCAGTGCTGACTGACTTCATATGTGCAGACGTATTCCCCAAAGACCCGCTGGGTGAGGCTCCAGTCTTTCTTATGCTCACACAGACTCTTCTCTCCCTAGACCACCCCTCCAACCAGGATGACAACATGACCACTCTGCTAGTGAGGATGCTACAAGGGCCGTTCCTTCCACCCCTTTGCCTCTGAGAGCTTTAGCTTATCTCCAACCCATGAAGCAGGAGGTTATGTGAGCAGCAAAAGCTTCCTGAACACTCTGGATGCACCAGGTCCTGTGCTGAACACTCTCATCTATTGTGGCACTTAATCCTCATGACAAATGGGTGAGGTCACTGGAGCCCAGAGAGCCTGCCCAGGCAGACATTTGGCCAGTACACGCTGGGGTCAGAGAGCCTGCCTGGGATGCTCGGCCAATACACAGTGGACAGGGACCTAGCCCTAGGCAGTCTTATCCAGAGCCCTCCATGAAACAACACTGCATTTTCCCCTGAGAAGCCAAGCTTCTTAGCAGGTCAAAGAACTAGAAGCTCAAGTTGGTCCACAAATAGCTAAGGAAGTGAGAAGTTGGTTCTGACTTCCTCTGAGGCTATGTGAGGACAGCCTTCACCTAGTAATATTTCCCATGTATTCTGTAGTTTTTGTCTGTGAGCTCATCTTCAGGTCTGTCGTCATCTTCCTCTGTATCTGCAGGATGTTCCACTGTTCCCTCTGCCTGGTAAATTCCAACCCAAGGCTCACATTTGTGAGGTTTCCACCTAGCTGTATACCTCAGTTTTACTCATGTGGTGTCTTTCCTCCTCCTTGCTCAGCCCATTCCTACTGGTCCTGCAACTCCTGGCTCAGGTATCACCTGCCATGACCCTCCCTGACCTGACCTCCTGCAGAACAAAAGGACCAAACGCTGCCACTCCTACTTCCTTAGAAATATCAGGCTCAGAGTTAGAAGCAGGAACCCCCCTCTACCTCCACTGTCTGATGGGGAAAAGAGGACCTCAGAGCCCACTAACACCTTCTGCCAGTGGGTGGGGCCTGATTTATAGGTCAGATAGCTGGGGCCAGGGATGGAAGCCTGAGATGGTGGTGGAAGCACTGCACACTGGCCAGTGCAGGCCCTGCTGGTAACCTTGGAGAACCTGGTGCCTCAGAGCTGGAAAACACCTTCCTCCCAGGGAGGCTGGAAGGATCAAACTAGGGCCATCTGTGAACAAACCTGCAAGGCTCAGCATGTGGCACAAGGCATCCTCCTGTGGCCAGGGAAGGTAGGAGGGCAGGGCTCAGCACAGCCAGCTCCCTCCTCATAGGAAATTGGACTTACAATCCTGGAAGGAGCCCTCATTGCATATCAGGCCCAACCACGGTCAGCCAGTGAGGCTGGCCTGGGGCCTGCATTGCATGTGGGCACTTCCTGGGGTCCATGCACACCTCAGGGGGCCCGCATCCTCCCTGAAGGCCACATGGGGACTCCCATGCTGAGTCTCTCTGTTAAAGGTGCTCTGAGCAGCGCAGGCTGAGATTCTGACTCACTGGCTCACTCAGCAGGCATTTGTGGAGCTCTGAGTGCATGCCAGACCCTGTAGCTCCTGAGCTTCTCCAGACAGAGGACCCTACTCCCTCCATTCCCAGCCCTGTCCTGGGGGCCTTCCCCCAGAAAAGTGGCTTCCAGAGGCTGGCTGCTCTGAGCCTCACCTCAGGGAGGCTTTCTTTCAGAACCAGAGGCCATGACCAGAGGCCAACTACCCAGGGCCAGCGCCCGCGAGCTGCTGACCACAAGGGCTCTGCCCGGCCCTGGGAGTGCCAGCCTCGCGCTCACCCCAGGGCTACAGCCCTTTACCTTTTTATACTTGTCTCGTACTCAGTCCTCTGCCGGCACAGCTCTGCCCTGAGCTCCGTGACCAGGCCCTGGAGAGCCTGGGAGCAGCGGGCATAGTCCTGGGTTGGGCTGCCTGGGTCGCTGGGCTCGCTGCTGCTGATGCAGGTGCCCACCTCGTCTAGGCCACGGCCCAGCTCTGGACATCGGTGGTCCTCACTGCTGCTGGGGAAAGGGGAAGGTTCGAGGGCCCCCTCAGTGTGCAGGGAGCTGCAGGTGGACGAGTCGCTGGCCCGGCAGGCCGTGCAGCTGCTGACCGAGCCCCTGGCCGATGCCTCGTAAGAGGAGGCCCCCGACCGTGCTGTGCTGGCCACACTGGGAGTGCTGGGAAACAGGCCACCGGGCGGAGGCACGTTGTCATAAGTGGAGAGTCTCTGCGCAGAACTGGAGTCCTTGAGCCGTTCTCCCGAAGAGGCCCAGCGGTGGCCACGCAGAGAGGACAGCCCGTTCATGAGCCAGTTCCCTCCAGAGATGATGGGCACCTCCAGAGATGAGTTGCCCACCTTCGGGCTCCCCGAACGGGACCCTGACTGCCAGAAGGAGGACTTCCAGTTGGGCAGAGTCTGCACCTTCTTCCCAGGGCTGGTGGTGACAGGGCTGCCTCGGCGACCCAGGCCCGTAGGAGAGGTTCTGGATAGCGCCGCCACAGTGGCCCCATCCAGAGATGAGGTCCTGTGTGACGGCAGGCCAGGGGTGCTGGGGCTGCTGGGTTCTGGCCGGGCATCCCTCGGGACCTCCTCCGAGCCCCAGCTCACTGTGCACGGTGGGCCCCCACGCGGGGAGGCCAGTCCTTCCTCGGCCCTCGCAGCGAACAATTGGCTGTGTTTGTGGATCAGGACAGTCATCAGGTGCTGGACCAGAGAAGTACCTGCCAGGAAGAGAGTGAGAAAGCCTGGCTGTGGCTGTCTTAAGTCCGGGCTCTCTAGACCACACCCAACCTGGGGTGCCCCTCAAGAGAGGAGCAAGAGCTTGCCGTCTGCCTCTCCAGAGGAAAGGATGGCCACCACATCCTCCAGACCCAGCACAGCCTGAAGAATCCTGCCCACGAATCCCCTTCCTTGGACACAGAGGAGGTACTGTGCCGCCCCGCCAGGTGTGGGGAAGAGGCAGGCACTATGCCCAGTGAGGCTGCAGGGTGAGCCAGCAGCAAGACCTAGACATCACAGCCTTCTCAGCTGTACCATGTCAGTCCCCTGTACTGCCAATGAGGGCTGTGCCTGGCTGGCCCCATTCTGGGGGGGCACAAGGCTCTGGGACAGGGACAGAGATGTCTTACACACACACACACAATCCCACATCCACACGGTCACAACTCACAAATGAATGTATGCAGCCCCCAACATGCACAACCTGCCCTTGCCTCCCCCTGCACACTCTCCCTCTCTCTCTCTCCCTCTCTCTGTCACACACACACACACACACACACACACACACAGCGACACACACACACAGTGACACACACAATACCTCTTCTCCAGGCCACAGCCCCTGAGATGCAGCCTGTAGTGCCTGACACAGGGGCTTGGGGGTCCGCGATGAAAGGGGGGCAGTACAGTGGAACCATGGTACCTATCTGCTTGCCGTGTTCCCTCCTATTACCCTCCACTAAAGACCAGAGACTGGGAAGGTTTTCAGGTGATAAGGAAGGAGGGGTGGTCGGGTGGGCCCTCCCACTAGGGGTAACCTTATAAGGGTCCTGGAAAACATAAGGAATCCTTAGGCCACAAAAATGGGTGAAGCAGGAACTTGGTGTTTGCAGTTGGCCATTTGTTCAGCCTGGCAGGCCCAGAACCTGGGAGCTCAACGTGAGAGAGTGAGCTCAACAGTCCCAGGGAGATCTGAACAAGCGTGCCACCCCAAGAATCCCAAGCAGCTGCTATTGCTAATTTTTATCACTATTATTATTATTATCTCCCCCAGGGAATGGCTCTGACATCTGGGAGCCAGCGACAACTAAATAACATTTACTTAAGGGAAACAAAAACATCATTGTGTATTCAAGGACAAGGGAGCTGACCTCTTTCCCCCACCCCAGCCTCTCCTGCCATTCTAATTGCTCCCAAGGACACCATCCACAGGCCAAAGTTCCTTTTGCTTTTATAGTTGGACCCCATGGGGTTGGGGAGGGGGTGGTGAGGTGGTCTAGAGGCTCCTGCCAGGTCCCCGGGACACAGCCCCTTCCTACCGGCTGGGCCCTGGGCAGGACTGATGTAGGGTGATGCTTCTGAGGACGTGCCTGGGACTGAGGGGAGGCCAGACCCAGGCAGCACCCAGTACCACCGTGTACACCTCCACCGTTACCTTCCATGATGGTTACTGGGTCTTCTATCTGTGGCCGAAGTATATTAGGTCCAAAAACAGTTGCCAGGTTCTGGACGCTCATCTTGTTGACATTTGAGTGGGACTGAACTTCATCCAGAAACCTGTACAGTGAGGAAGAAGCAGCTGGCAGAGAAGCAAACGCTGATGCCAGATCCGCTGGGAGTTGCCAGGCCCATGCCCAGCCACATCCAAGGGTATCCGCAAGCTGCCGGGCATAGCCAGCTGCCCTGCCAAACTCAGAAGAGGGCAGAGCTTCCCCCTCTGTGGGGCAGGAGGCAGCCATCCAGAGCAGAGGCCAATGGGACAAGGGAGGACACAGGACTCTCCTGCCTGCAGTGGGGGCAGATGCCCCAGAAGGCCCAGAGCCCTCAGGCATGGCGCTAGATGAGGGCCACACTGCATGCCCGCTCCCAGCACCTGGGCCTAGGCCGTTGTGCTCTGGAGGCTGACCCCTGAAGGGAGGGGACAGGGACAGGCACCCAGAGAGGACTCCAGGGACAGAGGGTACATCTCTCCTCTTCAGAAATGATGCACCGGAGACTATCGAACACCACCTGCTCCCATGGGGAGTGTCAGCTCCATGGGCATAGGGGCTGTGTTCTTTATGCCCCTCACTGGCTCCAGCAACACCTGGGGAGGGTGGGTATGGGGTGTGAGAATGACCAGAGCCCCTCTGTAAAGGGAACTGAGCCAAAGTGCAGGAAGGGAAGCTCTCTGCCCCTACTCACTTACTTGCAGATATATCTGAGCAGGTTGTAGTTGGCCAGGGGAAGGCTGCTCACTTGTTTAGCCAATTCCAGAGTCCCCTTGGGATTGAAAGAGAAAAAGAGCATTTCAAATTCCAGCAAGGAGACTCCAAGGCCCTTTTGCTGGAGGGAGGGCTGGGAGCAGGGGCAGGAATCAGAGTCCAGACCTGTAGCCAAGCCTCAGGGGACCAGAAGGTGCCACCACCTCCATCTCCCTCAGAGGAGCAGCGAGGCCAGGCTTGTGACATCTTGTGGGAGCCGATTTACTCTGGAGAACTGATGTGAAGGGTATGCCTCTGCAGGGCTAAAGAGGAATGTCAGGGCCAGGGCTCAGCACATTTATGGAGACACAAATATTTGCCAGGCAAAGACCCCTCATCTCCCACAGGGCCAGAAGGTCAGCATATAGTCCCTGCCCAGCCAAAGGCACCTGCAGGAGAGGGTGATGGTAGGCTGGGAGCCCTCTGTCCTGGAAGTAGTCTCAAATTCTTTTGGGAGGAGACAGGATATAAATAGATGAAGGGTCTGGTGGTTTCTGAACCCAATGGCTGGCCTGGGTAGCCTAAGGTTGAGGTGGGTAGTAGGAGGAGTCCCTACTGTGTGGGGGTCCAGACCTGGGCCCCAGGCACCCAGAAACATGACGGGAACTCGGCCTGTCCCTCCCAGAGACTGAGGTCTGCACACAGAGAGGACCGTATGCAGACAGGGGATGCTCTCAGCCCCCTCCATTAAGAGCTGCCCCCCCAACATGCAGACAGCAGGATGTTCCAGGCCCCCCTTCACAGAGCAGGAGGTTCATGACCTCCCATCTTACAGAGCAGGCTGTGGGCCAGGATCTATGGGCCAGGAAAGTCAGTTTGTGCCCCGCTCCATACACCCGCCTCCCAGCAGACCCGCTTCCCAGAATGGGCCCCAGGAGCTACTGACCTCCCCCTCATCCTTGGTGAGCAGCTGGGCACAGCTAAGGAAGTCCTCATACCTGGCGAAGGGGACCACGGGCTCAGGGAGCTCCCGCAGGTAGAGCTTCAACAGAGAGGCCACCGTGTGCACGTCTGTTGTGCTGTGGGCAGGGGGACATGCATGAGGCCTGGGACACCAGGGAACCCCAGCGGTGGCCAGCACCTTGTGCCACTCCCCCAGAGGCAGCCTCTGCTCTCCTGTCCGTGTGTGTTTGTCTGTGTACAGTTAGCCAGGAAAGCGGCAGGAGTGAAGGGCCCCTTTCTGCTGGCCTGGTGGTCCCTCTGGGGTCCTCAGCAGGGCAACATGAGAGCTGCTCCGCTCTAAGCAGGCACTGGGTGATGGGAAGCCTGAGCTTGCTCTCCCCCCACCCCCAGACTGGCCCACAGTGTAAGGGGAGGGGCCATGGCAAAGGCACCTGGCATGTTAGCCTGCTGAACTCCTGGAAAGAGCAGGCGTCCCTGGGCCCTGGCCACTAGGGCCCAGGCAGCTCAGAGGTCGGGCCCTCCCTCTCAGCCTCTGGGCTCCTAGACACATTATAGACACCTGGGCGTCTATGTTCATCACCCTACTTCCAGCGCCCCAGTGCTCTGTGTGTCCACTCGGAGGCCTCAGTTTTCTACGCCCCAGCTTGGATTTGCCCAGTGAAGAGCAGCAGCCCTAGGCCTATTGGCCTCTGGGTTCAGGTTCTGAACTGGGGTCTTGGCACCTCCTCTAAGCTTGCCTTCCTGGATGGACCTGGGCACTAGGTATTTCATGTTTTTCTAGGGCCCTGGATTTAAACCCTGAGCCTGCATCTTCCTCATGGCAGGAACTCAGGAAAGATGAGGCTGGGGCCAGGAGAATGCGGCTATGCCCTTAAGGTGCCACCTGGCCTTGGCTGTCCATAGCTGGTCTTGCTGAGTTAAGCCCTAGGGTCCCTTCTGGCTTCTCAAGCTCCTCCTCTATGCCCTCAGCTTTCAGTACTCCTGGGCCTGGGAGGCCTGGCCCACAGCCGGGGTCCGCAGCCCCAGTCCACAGCCTTCTGCCCTCCAGGTTCCTGTAGCCAGATCCTCTGCCCTACCCTGGTCTAGGGAGTCTGGCCCAGCATTCTGTCTCCCCTTCTTTCCTCCCTGCCTAGAAACACACTTCCTCATCCTCTCCTTCTTTCCCTACTCACTGCAGAGTTTTCCTTTTAAACAGTGGCTTGAGGCTTTTTCTTGGTACTCCTTGAACCACGTCCTCCTCACCACCCTCTCCCGCTACACACACCTGCCCTGAATCCAGGCACCCTATCCCAGCACCCAAGGAGGATGTTCTGCAGCCCACAGCTCTGTGGATGCCCGCCAGACTGAGAGCCCCACTAAGGCAGGTGCTGTCACCTGTCCCGCTCACTCCCCCAGGACCAGGCTCACAGCCTGTGGTGGAAGGGGGCTGGGTGCACAGGCAGGGAGGACAGCTCAGGGGTCCCAATCAGCTTCTGCCTTTTCTGTGGGCAGGACTCAGACAGAGGGAGCTAACCCGAGAGCCTTAGTTTCTCCACCTGTTGGATAACACTTCCATTCCTTGGTCCTCTTCTTTCCTAAGGGCAGAACTCCCCTCAGAATGGGGGCAGTCCCAAGCTCTATATCTACTGACAGACTTGCCCACTGCAGTGATGGGTCCTGGTAGAGGCTGGAGGGACTGAGGGTGTTCTGCCCCAAGAGCAGGGCTGGGAAGGCCAGGGCTGCCAGCAGGAACCCATGGGCTTATCTGTGACTGTGAAGGCAGAGCTGAGACGCTCCAACAGAGGCCAAGGCTGGCTTGATGCAGGAAGAACTTTCTATGAAAACTACTCTGTGATGGGTGGGGTCCTGTCTGGGAGAAGAGGCCCCAAGGAGCCACCTCCCTGGTCATAGCCCTACCCACACAGTGCAGCCCTCAATGGGGAAGTCCCAGTGATGGGATAGGACAGGTACCGGCTCCCCACCCCTGGTATCTGAGAGAATGTGGGGCTGCTCCATCTTGCCACTGAAGGGGCCTGAAGGGTGGGAAGCTGAGAGAGGGGGCCCTGCAGAAGGCCTAGAGTCCCAAATGGAACCAGCAGAGGCCCTTCTTTTCCCCTGCCTGGGTTGGGTTTACAGGCATCCACTGTGGACACAGCCTGCATAGTCATGAGTGTGCCTCATCCGTGGCAGGATCCATCCCTGAGAGGAGACCCAGGGCTGCTGCACTGATTTTGTGCCCAATGCTCTGCCCATGGGAACAGTTGGGTGCTGGGGGGGCGGCTGACTGAGCACACGTGCTACTGTGGGGAGCCATGCCACCACCACCTTGCTGCCAGGCTTCCTGGAGGCCAACCTACTGCCCCCTGGAGCTTGTGTCCTGGGAGGAGCCCCTACAGCAGGAAATGGACAGGTGATCCCATCTCTCCTGCTTTCCCTCAGGAGCTCACCTGTCAAACAGTGGTTTCTCCCCACAGTCGAAGGAATCCTGCAGGTCCCTCACCAGGTTGGCTTGGCCTGGCATGCGGAAGAGCCCCTCTTCGGTGAGCCCACGCTCCCGGATGAAGTCCACACACTGTTCCACCAGCAGGGGGGCCAGACGGGGGCCATACTTCCGCTCATGGTGGACTGTGTCCTCTAGGCGCTGCCCAAAGATCCCTGGGCACAGAGAGGAACTGGTCACACTCTCAGCCGTCCAGCTCAGTGGTGGGGGAAGGGTGCTTTGGACAATGGGGGGCCAGAGGTGCTGTCAGGGACAAAAGTGTCTCTCTCTGAGGGAGCAGATGAGGATCTGGAGGGAGGGGTCTATACTAGGCAGCTGGACCCTGGGCCACAAGCAGGAGGGGACAGTGGGCAGGGGGCCTATCCTGTGCTGTGGAATTTGTCTAAGCCTGAAGAACTTTCAGAGGGCCCTCAGGGAACATGAATTATGCATTTTATTGATTCATTTATCTGTACAACACTCACCTCCAAACAGGAGTGACTTACATTTAAAATCCCAGAACTATGTCCTCCAAAAGATGTGCCCTAGAATGTTCTTAGCGGCATTCTTTGCAATCTGTCCAAATGGGAAACCACCTAATGCCCATCAGCAGTAAAATGAGTGGGCATGTCATGGTCTACTCATACTGTGCAGAACCAGACAACTATAAGAACAGATGGCAAAACAGCTCACACAAGACAGATGACTCACTGATGTGAAAACTTACTCGTGGCTCAGCATCACCGATCGTTAGGGAAATGCAAGTCAAGCCACAGTGAGGTACCACCTTGCACCCCGGGAGGATGACTACTATCAAATCAGAAAGCAGCAAGTATTGGTGAGGATGTGGAGAGATTGAAACCCTTGTGCACTGTTGAAAGGAATGAAAATGGTGCAGTCACTAGGGAAAACAGAGCAGTGCCCTCAAAAATGTAAAACAGGATTACTGTATGATCCAGCAATTCCACATCCAGGTAAATAAGCAAAGGAACCAAAAGCGAAGACTTGAACAGACATTTCTACATCCATGTTCATAGTACATTATTTGCCATATTCAAAAGGTAGGAGCACTTGGCGGGCTCAGTCAGTAGAGCCTATGACTCTTGATCTCACAGCCAAGAGTTCAAGCCCCAGGTTGGGTATAGAACTTGCTTAAACAAAACCAAACAAAACAAAAGCCAAAGGCAGAAACAACCCAAGTGTCTATCAAAAGATAAACGGATAAACAAAACGTGGTACATACATACAATGGAATACTATTCAGAATTAAGATAAAAAGGAAACTCTGACACATGCTCCAATGTGGATGAATCTCAAAAACATTATGTCAAAGTGAAATAAGCCAGCCACAAAAAGACAAATACCGTATGATTTCGCTTCTGTGAAGTACTTACAATAAGAATTCATAAAGACAGAAACGAGAATGGTCGTTGCCAGGGACTGGAGGATGGGGGGCAGGAATGGAGAGCTACTATCTAATGGGGTAAGAGTTTCAGTTTTACAAGATGAAGGAGTTCTGGAGCTGGAAGGTGGTGATGACTGCACATTGTAAAGGTACTTAATGCCACTGAGTTGTATGTACACTTAAAAATGGTTAAGATGGTAAATATTAGCTCTATTTCACCAAGAATTTTTAAAAATTAAAAAATAACTGCAAGCAGAAGCCAGACCTAGAGTTCACACTGCATGACTCCACCTATGTAACATGCAACACCAGAGCAGGATGTGGTTACCCTGGTGGGTCAGTGACTGGAAGGGGTCGGAGGGGGCTTCGGGAGTGCTGGTAGTGCTCTGATTCTGGACCTGGGTACTCCTTACCCAGCTGTATTCACTTTGAAAAAAAATCATTAAACTACCCTTGTGATTTATATACTTTCTTATATGCTACATTTCAATAATGTTTGTAAAAAAAAAAAACAGGAAGCAGGAGATTCAGAGCATTTAATGCAGGACAAGAGGCAAATGAGGGATAAAAGGAGAGAGAAAGAAGTAGAGGAACTCTGGACTGAGAAGATCTATGACAACTAAATATACAACCAGCTAAGGGGCTCCTCGCGGCCTAGGCCAAGAGCAGAAGTAGCTGAGGACCATAAAGCTCTCGCTCTCACAGTGATGGTAACAGGAGAAACACACTTCTCCCAGCCCTAAGCTCTATGAGGATTTTCAAATACCTAACATCTTCCACTTGCACACATGACGCAGAGACTTCCCCCACAGGGTGGCTTCTGGGGTGTGCCAGGGGCATGATGCCAGAGCTCCATTCTGTCCAGGCATGTGGCTGCCGGAGATGTGGATGGTGAGCCAGTCAGGTGAGCATTCAGTCTCTCCCTTACCACTGAGCAGTGGAAGGACTCTGGGCACCTACTTAGCTCCCCCCACACTGGCTAGTTTAAAATAAGATACATCAGTTCCTAATACAGTGCCTGGCATAGAGCAGGACTCAGTAAATGTTCGTTCTCCCCCTGCTCGACCCAAGTACAAAGCCTACAGAGTCTGGGGGTGGTGAGACTTCTCCCTTCTAGAAAACATGCCCATGTAGAATGCATCCAGTGATGCCAACAATACTTTAGGGAGAAGTGTGTGCATGCAAGTGGACTTGTGTGTGCACATCTATGCATGCATATGCATGAGGAAAGGGCGCTAAAACAGCTAACACATGGCACTCAAGGTGCCAGGTCCTGCTCTCAGCACTTCAAAGACACCAGTGCATATAATTCTCATGCAGCTTGTAACCTAGGGACTATTACTTTCACATCACTATCAGCATCATCCCCATTTTTCAGATGGACAAACTGAGAGGCAAACAAGTTGAAGAGCATGCCCAAATTCACTCAGCACATGGCAGGGTCAAGGTTCGAACCCAAGCAGGCTGGTTCCAGGCCTAGAGAATGTTCTAGGCCACAGTGCTGCTCTTTACCCACACTGATGCTCGGATACCTGGATACTATCCACCCACCAATCCTGTTCCCCAAGTTTCTCCAGTCTTCACTGGCAGTTCCCACAGACATGGTCAGCACTAAGCAGAGACTATAATACGACATGCAAGGAAAAGCTGTCTGCCTCCCGGGCCTGGGGGGAGAGCCCAGGGCCCCTGCCCGCAGGGGTGTGGCCTGCGGGCCAGTCAACAGCGTCCTGGCCTCTCTGCCGAGCCTGAGAGCGGCCTGCGCTGGCCCTGGGGACACAGCACCACTGTTCCCCCTCCCCTCACCCAGGGCTCCATCACCAGCGCTCAACAATGGGCCCCATGGGCCCAGATGCTCTTGTTTAGCTGGTGTGCAAACCACTGTAATATGAGTTATTTAAAATCTGGAGGTTTCATATAAAAATTGATTTCCAGCTTCTCTTGAAAAACCCCACAGGTCCGGAGGCCGGGAGGTATTCCTGAACAGCAACAGGGGCGGCGTCCTGCCATCCCTGGCCGGGACAGCACATCTCACGGTCCTCACCAGGCCCTGCCACCTCACGCCCAGCCCAAGCCTGCCTTGGGGGAGGCCCTCACCCCTCTGCTTTGACCTGAACGGCACAGACGGCCCCAGGGTCCTGTGGGCATGGGAGGTAGGGGAGCAGGGCGGTGATCCACGGAAGGTAGGAGCGGGAAACCATCACGTCACCACCTGAGGCAGTGCCAGGCCCTTCAGTGAGCCGGAAGATGACATGTTGAGGGGAGCCGCACGTGGGGCGAGGGTCCCCCAAAGGGGAGGGGGCTCGACTGGCACGGCACCCTGGGTGCCCACCTCCCTCTGGCCCGCCTCCCTCTCTGGTCAACGTTACATACTACTGGAGCCCCCTAAACCACAAGTCTGCCTTCCTGCCTCTGGCCCGTGCATAGACCTCGGCCCGGAGTCTCCTTCCTCTCCAGTCTGGGCAAATTTCCTACCAGCCCTTGGGAGCAGCTCTGATGGCCCTCCTGCGTACTCCTCACCAAGAGCCCCTCCCTGTCCTTCCTGAGCTAGTGCAGGATGGGGATCACTGAGGGGAGGACGGTGAAGGATCCAGAGTTAGTGCTCCCCACCCCTGGGCTCATAGGGGACTGAAGGCCCGTCAGGGAAGAGAGACACTGAGGAGAATTCTACAACTCCTCCAGAGACCCACAAAGCTGGGGTAACCCCGTGCAGCCCTTTTTGCTTGCCCGTCTCCTGTCCCCAGGACACCTGCCATCCTCTGTCTGTCTACCTGTCCATCTACCCTTCCTCACCCTCGCACTCGGGCCTTACCCTGTTCTAGGTAGTGGAAAATGCAATGGGGCAAGCAGGCTGGCCAGACAGAGGGCAGCTGCTGCAGGGCTGGCCCACTGCTGCTCTGGCAGCACTGCCATCTCTAGGAGCCCCCTCCCAACCCCGGCACAACCATGGCCTCCCTGGTAACCCTCCTCGCTGCTCACCCTCCCTCCCAGACAGGGCTGTGAGCCAGGAATCGGGAAGTCCACCAACCCCAGGCGCTTCCAAATACAGGTGATTTGGGGGAGGAGGTGACGTTGAGACTGGGGTGCAAGAATTAGTGGGAGGCAGCCAAGCAGGCAGGTGGGAGTAGGGTGGGTGAGCAGAGGCCCCAGGGCAGATGTGGGTGGGGTCTGATGGGGAACTGCAGGGGCTGGAGAGTGGGTGTGAGGGAGCCTGCTGAAGAGGCAAGGATCCTCACCTGTGCTGAGCACTGACCTTCTTTGCTGCTCAGGGGCTTGGGAAATGGCAACACTGCCCCAGGGCACTCCAAGTGCTGAGCCCAGTGACAGGGCTGGCCTAGGGGTGGGGGTGGAGACCCAGGCAGCAGGTGACAGTCACAACTGAAGGTCACAAAGACAAAGATTTGAGTCTAAGTGTGCACTGGTCTGGGTGTACGTTCCAGCTAAGCTACCGAGGAAAGGAGGGGGCCTCAGTTTCTCCACCTATAAACCGGGGTGACCATGCTGTTTTTAGGAGGCTGCCCTGAGGCCCTGCCCAAGGCACCACCACATCCCCGGCAGGGCTGTAGGGCAGGGCTGTGCCAAGCCTTGCAGGAGACTCTGGGGCCAGATGCTTTGTGGAGGGCCTGGGAGAGCTCACTGCAGCTCTGCCTCCTGGGCGTCCTCCCCGGTGGTCCTCCTGCTGGAGGCAACCTGCACTCAGGCTACAGAGCCTGGCCTCCCTCAGCCAGGATCTCTCTGGCAGAGCCAGGGCTGCGAAGAGCTGCGCTGACCTCC